CACAAAAGCTGCTGGTGAAAAACAACAAACTATAGTAATGCCACATCCACATCAACAGTATCCTCAATTGTGGAATCAACGACTAATGCAGACACTATGACTATATCACCTAATACAACAACTACAACAACCTCTTCAGCTACAACAACTACTGAGGAAACGACAACAAAAATGTATGTTGCCACAACCACCTCAACAGTGTCTTCAACTGTGGAAACAACACCAACAACAAATGTAGAAATATTAACTACATTACCTGAAACACCAAGAACAACTACAGCTGAAACCACAACAGTTGGTGGGGCAACAACATCAACTTCTGATGTGACATCCACCATTTCACTATCATCAACTGTCGAATCCTCATCAACAACTAATCCCGATACTATGACTACATCACCTGATACAACAACCACAACAACCTCTCCAGCCACAACAACTACTGAGGAATCGATAACGAAAACGTATGCTGCCACAACCACCTCAACAGTGTCTTCAGCTGTGGAAACAACACCAACAACAAATGTAGAAATACTGACTACAGTAACTGATACAACAAGAACAACTACAGCTGAAACCACAACAACTGGTGGGGCAACAACAAAAACTACAGATACCACATTTACTTTGCCAGATTCCACAACTGTAGAGTCAAGCTCAACAAGTAATGCAGTCCCATTGGCTACATCACCTGATACTGCAACCACAACAGCTGCTGGTGAAACAACAACAAACTATAATAATCCCACACTCACATCAACAGTATCCTCAATTCTTGAATTAACTTCAATGACTAATGCAGACCCTATGACTACATTACCTGATACAACAACAACAACAACCTCTCCAGCCACAACTACTGACAAAACGACAACAAAAACATATGCTGCCACAACCACCTCAACAGTAACCTCAACTGTGGAATCACGATCAACAACGTATATTGACACACAGACTACAGCAAATGACACAGTAATCACTACTTCAGCTCAAACCACAGCAGCTGCTGGACCAAAAATAACAACTTATGATGCCATATCCACCTCATTGGTATCCCATACTATGAACTCAAACTTAACAAGCAATGTTGAAACAAGTACTACATCACCTGTTACTGCAGCCAAAATTATGTTTGAAATCACAACTGCTGCTGTAGCAACAACACCAATGTATGATGACACATCTACCTCACCAGAATCCTTAACTGTGGAGTCAACATCAGTATTACCAACTATTAAATCAACCTTTGGAAATAATGCAGAAAGTGTGGCTCTGGCAACGACTGTAGCAACAACAACAGATTATGATGTCACATCCTCGTCACCGCTATCCTCAACTGTGCAATTAATGTCAACAACTAATGCAGACACAATGACAACAGCACCTGATGCTGAAACCACAACTACAGCTCAGTCAGTAACAGTTGCTGAAACAGGAACACTGACAACTTATGATGCCACATCCATATCAATAGTATCGTCAACTATGGTGTCAAAGTCACGTAATACAGAAACATCTATTACATCAGCTGATACAACAACCTCAACTACAGCTCAAACTATAACAGCTGCTGAGACATCACATACAAGTAATGAGGATGCAGTGACTTTAGAACCTGTTACATCAACCACAACTGCAGCTCAAACCACAACAGCAAAAACCTTTGATGGCACATCCACCTCATCAGTAACTTCAAATGTAGAATCAACCTCATCAACTAGGACAGACTCAAAAACTACGGCACCTGATATAGAAACATTTACAGATCAATCCACAATAACTGCTGGGGAAACAATTTTTTTTCCCACATCCATGTCATCTTCATCCTCAACTGTGGAGTCAATCTCAACAAGTAATACAGAAACAATGACTACAGCAATTGTTTTAGGAACAAGAACTATGCCTAAAACTATAACAGCTGCTGGGGAAAAGGCATCCTCTGATGCCACTTCTACTTTAACCATATCCTCAACTGTTGAGTCAACCCTTACAAGTAATGCAGAAACAATGACTTTGACACCTGATACAGCAACAACAACTACAACTCAAACCACAACAGTTGCTGGAGCATCAACAACAACTTTTGATGCCACATACAACTCATTCATAGCCTCAACTGCAGAGAAAACCTCAACAAGTAATGAAGAAACAATGACTACAGGACCTGATTGTGCAACCACAAATGCAGATC